ATCACTGTTCTTTGATTATATACTTCCTTATAAATTATATCGAGATCAAATGATCTTCATATCATATTATAAATTGCCAGTGTTGCGAGTTTCAAACTTTTTACCTTGACCTTTAGTATAGTTACCTTGACAATTGGTCAAATGTTGTTACCTTGTCTATCATTATTTCAGTTAATTTCTTTTATCATCAACTCTGACTCAGTTTAGACTCGGTTTACAGTATAAACTTTATCTTGACCTCTGACCAGGTCTTGTCTTACTGAAATATCTATCTCTATATACCTTAATTGGTCCCATCTCTCTGCTCTGACGGAGACCATCTAAAACTTTATACAAAAGCTGTTATAGTTACCATATATGCTATTTCCTAATGAGTTTGAAATATAAAACATGTAGCTGTAAACTGAAGAACTCATACAGGTGACAAGTGAAGTTATCCTGTGACCTTAATGGAACTACATATGCATAATGTCCTGAGAACTTGTGATATAGAGCTTGTTTATCAGTCAAACAGTAGTTAAAAAATAAAAGTTGTTTTAAGAAATTTTTGACATGATGAACAGAAGATGGAAGTGGAGTTCAGCATAAGCTCACCTTGGTCTATCCAGAACAGGTGAACTAAGGTTATATGTATCTCATTTACTCAAAAGTCAAAGAATATTAATTACATTTAAGTACCTTCTACCACAAAGAAGACTGATCCAGACATGTATGAAGCGGAGACAGGAATGTTGTTGGACGCTGAACATACGTAGTACCCTGTGTCCTCATACCGCCGTGTAACATCAAGGTCAGGTAGGGTTAGTATCGACTCTGTAGAACTGGAAATTCCGGTAAACTGACGTATCACTGTACCGTCTTCCGCCGTTTGTTTCCATTGTCCAAACTGGTACACGGCCGGGTTACCATCTGGGTCACATGTCAATATCCTGTCTGAAGACATGTGGGTGGCATTGACATAGTTGATATGTATGTCAGGAGGATCTGTTAATTAAGATACATGTACCAACTTCAGGTTTCTAAGTGCTGTTAGAAAAGAACATAAGCTTTCTAATTCTAAGGTACTAAATGATTAAATTTTATGTTTTTTCTGGCCTTAAATCAAATTGGGAACAACTGAGGACCTACATTTGAAATTTGAGAAAGAAAGAGTAATAACAAACTTTCTTTATCAAAATCCAAGATGGGTATCAGTCAGCCATTTTGTTTCTCAGATCTGCCCAAAATTCCTATAGTCAAAACAAGGAACCAAGGGGAACCTACATATGAAAGTTGAAAAAGATCCATCCGTTACTTCTCAAACAAGATTATCAAAATCCTGGATCTCGGTATCTCAACTAAATCAACAAGAGATTCCAGAGGTATCTTGGTGTCCATCTTGGCTGATCTTTATTTGTTCTTTGAAAGGTGGATATTTTTCTTTCTTTTCTCTTTTCTTCTCTGATTTGCTCTTATTCATAAGAGATTTGAATATTAATCTTTTGCGGAAAAAGTAATATTAATCTTTAACTGCCAAATCCAAGACAGTAATCTGGAAGCCTTTTTGCTTTTGCTGACCAGTCCCAATATCAAACGGGCCAAACTAGGTATCAAGGGGATTCTATACATAAAATTTACGACAGATCTGCATAGCATTTCTCACGAAATAGTGATAATAAACTTTCAATGTCAAAATCCACTGGCTTTTTTTTTCATCAGTCCCAAAATCAAACAGGTAAAACTACAGATCAAGGAGAACCTACACATGAAATTTAAGACAGATCTATGAAGCTGTTCTCAAGAAATAGCGATAATAAACTTTAAATGTCAAAATCCAAGATGGCTGTCTGTTGGCCACTATTTTTTTTTTCATCAGTCCCAAAATCAAACAGGCAAAACTACAGATCAAGGAGAACCTACACATGAAATTTATGACAGATCTATGAAGTAGTTCTCAAGAAATAGAGATAACAAACCTTTTAAAGTCCGTATCCAAGATAGCCATATGTTGGCCATTTTGTTTTCTTTTCTGATCAGTCCAAAAATCAAATGAGCACAACCATAGATCATGGGGAACCTACATATGAAATTTGAGAAAGAACTAGGCAGGTGTTCTCAAGAAATAGCAATAACAAATGTCAACGTCGAAATTCAAGATGGTCAACTGTGAGCCATTTTGCTTTTTTTCTGAACAGTCCCAAAAATGAATTGCTACAAATTTGGGCAATGGGGAACCTTTAAATGAAATTTGAGACAGACCCATTGCATGCTTCTTAAGAAATAGCAATAGCAAACTCTACAAGGTGAAATCCAAGATGGATGCCTGTCGTCCATTTTTTTTCCTGATCAGTCCCAAATTCAAACGAGCTGACCAGTGATCAAGGGGAACCTACACATGGAATTTGAGAAAGATCCGTCCATCACTTCTAAAGAAATAGAGATAACAAACAAGAGGCCAAAGTGCCTTAATGGCCTGAGTCAAAATGCCTCTTGTAACATGCCATAGAAATGATTTGTTTAAAAATTAATACAACTTTAACGACATTGTACATGTAATACAAATGTAAATTGTGCATAATATTAATTGCTGTTTCATGCTAAGGCTTTTACCCAAGTTTGAATTAAAAGAAATTACATTCAAAAATTGAACTTCTATATAAACTATTCCATCCATCACTGCAGTTGAACATCTTTGAAATTTCAGTTAATTTGACCCGTTTTTGGCCCTGGCTATCAGCCCCTGGCGGTCAGCTGAGGTCAATAAGAGCAGCTCATCAAACTATCATCTTCTACTAATAATTTTTACCAAGTTTGAATTATTTCTAAAAGAAAATAAACATATTATGCTTAACAAGAGTGCCATGGCCCTTAACAGTCATCTGACAATCGACGAATGGATTGACAAACCACAGAATTCACTAATGGTGGTCTGACAAATCTGATGAATTCAAATTTCAAATATTCCTAAAAAGTGTCAGAAACTCATTAATGGTAGGCTCCTTGCATGAAAAACAGTTGCACCACCACATTACAAAATAACTGCTGTGGTTACCATATTCACGTTTTGATCACACTGTAAAATAACAACAAATCATCCCTTTCTTTTCTTTAAAAGATTAAAAGATTCTAAACATTTTTCTCATTGGTGTGAAGGAAACTTGTTAAGTATTTCAGACTATCTGTTCTAGATGAGTTATGTTAGAATTTGGACCAAAGCATGAAAATAAGATTTGGTCATAACAATCTCTGGATCACTTCATGTATATTTGATTTAATTGCCACTCCCTGATAGTTTTCTGGCAAAATTTGGTCCAAAGGGATCAAATCAACTTTTGGAATTCGAGAAATGATTCCCCACTCTCATTGATATTTCAGACTAGATTTGGTTGAAATCCATTCAAGCATTAAGAAAGAGTAGCATCTTGAAGCAAAATAAAGTCTAACTTCCCCTTTTGGGACCTCGCCCACAAGTCATTAGGGGCCGAAATAAATTTCTGAATTTAAAAAAATGATTCCCCAATCACAATGATGTTTCAGACCAAATTTGGTCAAAATCCACTTAAGCATTGATAAAGAATGCCATTTTGAAGCAAATTATTGACAGATTTTCCTATTTGGGGCCTCACCTGCACCACGGTTGAATCAACTGTCTATACTGAAGACATGATTCCCCATTCTAAATGATGTTTCAGACCAAATATGGTTGAATTCATATAATGGCTAAGAAAAAGTAGCATTTTGAAGCCAAATATTGACTAACTTTCCTATTTAGTATCCTGCCTGCCCACAGGTCCCTAGTGGTCGAAACAACTTTCTGAATTCAAGAAATGATAACCCACTTACAAGAATGTTTCACACAAAATTTGGTTGAAATCGACGGAGATATTAATTTCCCCTTTTGAGGCCCCAACCCCAAATCACTAAGGGTGGAATCAAATTTTTGAATTTAAGAAATTATCCCCCCACCCCCAATGATGTTTCAGACCAAATCTGGTTGAAATCCACCAAGATGTTGAGTAACTTTTTACGGATGGCTAACAGCGTTTAGCACATGGCGACGGAGGATGCACGATAGTAAGATGTAATTGAAAATGCGAGACTGTTGGGTCATGAAATTTACAAGTTTGTTAAAGCACCTTAAGACACTTCCACCCATGAAGAATATTTGGTTCTACTTTATCTGGGTAATGAGAAGGAGACATTTAAAATTTCAATTAATATAACCCATGTTTGGCCCCACCCATCAGCCCCTGCGGGTCAGCCGAGATCAAAATGTGCATCTCATCAAATTGTCAGATTATACTAATAATTCTAACCAAGTTTGATCTATTTCAAACTGAATAGAAACAAATCATACTCAAAGAAATTATTTTCCTATATAAAGTGTAGTAAACTTTACCCCCTCCCTAAGGGGAAATGTGAGATCCTGGGGTCCTGAAAGTAAAAACTTTGTAAAGCACCGCAAGACATTACCATCCATGAAGAATTTTTGTTTCTGCCTTACCTGGGATTTGAGAAGATGATTTTGAAGTTTCTATCAATTTAACCCTCTTTCGCCCCGCCCCTCTGGCCTTTGGGGGTTGGCAACCATTTAATCTACAATGTTCGTGTGCCTTTATGCATGAAATGTTTTTTGTAAAATTTCATTGAAATAGAGTTTTCCTGAAGAAGTCAAAATTGTTTTTACGACATACAACACCAGACAAATTGTTTACGGACAGGCTGTCCCCTGTCATATGACAATTTGAATAACCATCTGACGATGGAGGGTTGAAAAACAAGGTGTCCATGAGTCTAAATAACACTCAGATATTACAATGGAAGTATGCTGCCTAAGTAAAACAAATATTAGGAAATTTTAAGGTAGGTGTGAAACAGAAAGTAAAGTTTAATTCCATGAAATGATCAAGAGCAAACAGTGACTATTTTCCAGCAAAACAAAATGAAATTGTCAAAACTAGGGACCAACTGAAACCTACACTAGAAATCGGAGAAATATTTAAGATTGCAACCTGTCAGTACACAGACTTCCCACTGTCCTGATATGTGCCTGTGTGAGAGATGATATACTTACACAATACTGTTAAATTCTGTCGTACTGATTCAGTCCCTCCAGATAAGGCCCGGTTACTGGCTCTACAGTACACAGACTTCCCATTGTCCTGACGACTGACTCGGAGAGAGAGTGTTGACGTCACGGTGTAGGTTTCTGTAGCACTGTCCATGACCTTGACCTCTGTTGGATTACTTGACTGCCATGTCCCCCCAACATTCCACTCAATGTCGGCCGCAGGTCTACTTCCTGTAGACTCACACACTACCTGTAGATCTGTGTTCTCTGTCTGGGACATCTGGCCAGATATAGTAGGCTGTCTCGGCTTCACTGTAATAAAGGAACAAGAGCTAATATTAAGAAAGATGTTACTGATCTAACATCTGAAAGTTTTTGTGGATCAAATCAATGTTATTAAGAATCCGTCACCTGATTTATATTACGCTGTCATTGTTCCTGTAACATGTCATTGATATAATCTTGTTATACAAAGTAAGGTAAATAATGCACACTACATTGTAGAAGTTATGTAAACTGTGCCTTCTTACCACACTTGAATTGAAAGCAATTATACTCAAAAATGTAATTTTCCTATAAAAACTAAAGTACAAATTTTATACTCAATCCCACCCATGAAAATTTGAGACCCTGGGGAACATGAAATTTTCAGTTTTGGTGAAGCACTTAAGACCCTTCCATCCAGAGTATTTGATTCTATCATATTTGAATAACAATTTTCAAAATTTCAGTCAATAGGACTCTTTCTTGGCCATACACATCCGTCCCTGGGGGTGTGCCATGTTCAATATATGCATACCATCAAAATGTTATCCTATCTCAACTATTCTAAGCAAGTATAAACTATTTCTAAATAATTGATTAAGATTATCCCTAATAACTTTTGCATATTTAACATAGAAAAACAAATTTCTGACATATTTGTTATCATTGATGCATATTTATACAAAAAACAACCCAAGACTTGACTACTAGTTAAGCTGTTTATTGATAATGAACGAGAAGTCTTCTGTAGCAACAAAAAACGATCTCTTTGGCGTAACAGGGGCTACTCAGTCATAAGCAAACTATGGAACATTTAATTGTGAAAAGGTTGACTCTGCGACATCAGAGAAGCGAAGTAAAAGTGAACTGCGCTTGACTCCGGAACAGGAGAAATCACTTGACTCTGATGAACAGAGAAGCAACTAGACTCGCTGATGCCAGAGAAGCCAGGAATGATAGGGCTAGACTGTGTAAGAGTATAGAGAAGTACTTGACTCTAAGAGACTCCGAAGGTTCTAGAGTAGTGACTTGACTCGGACACTGACTCACAGAGCAGCTAGCAAAATACAAGGACAAACTCGACTCCAGGGTAACCAATAAGAAGATTCTGGACTCTTAAAAGCATTACAGAGCAGTGACTTGACTCATGAAAGGACCCCATTTACGCACATCCAATATAGTATATCTATGAATGACATGTATAAAATAAGCTATAAGGAGATTTTCAAATTATGGGATAAAATTCCCCAGGAATTTAAAAGCCAAAACGAGCGAGTAAATGTGCTTACGAGTCAGTGACCCAATTGATAAGGAATAAAGGTTATGAAAAAGTCATGTTGAGTTGAGCCAACTGTAAAGTGGCTGGATTAGTATGAATGTACTGAATAAAACAATCTGATGACCACCGTCCCAAGACTTTAATAACATGGTCTTGGCCTCTGGCCGCTGCTGCAGAAGTGATGGCACCAATTCTGACTTGTAAGTAGCCAGAGTCCTTTCACTAAGGGCACGGTTCCACAAACTATCAACAGCTCATCATCAAGGAGGCCAAAGGCAGACATGGAACTGGTAGTATATCTGCTTGAGGTGCTAGCTGCCTGAATTTGCACATCTTAAAACCACTGGTTGAGGTATATTCCTCCAAAAGATTCAGATGTAGCATCGGTAAAAAGATGGAGGTCTGCTGCTGATGTGATATGATCATCAAGAAAAAAAAAATGTAGCTCACGCACAGTAGTAGAAAGCGATATGAGATGAGAAACAAAAGAACGCCCTTATCTAATACAATGACAGGCAAAGTTCATGTGACCGAGCAAACTGAGTGACTTGTGTTGAGTACAAGACTTTTTTCTCTTAAAAGAATCCAACAACTCAATAATTCTTTCCACCTTTTCACGTGGAAGACGAGATTCCCTCAGACGAGAATCTAGGAACACACCAAGGTATTAAAGTGATGTACATGGACCCACAGTTTTAAGTGCTCCTACAGGAATACCTAATTCCTTGAACATAGACATAAAAACGTTCTATAGTACGAGATGCATTGACATCAGCAGGTTAAATAACTGAAATCATCTAGCAAGTGAAGAATGTTACTAATATTGTAATTGTTCTTAGCTATCCAACCAACTGCCTGAGAAAGGCTGTTGAGTATTTTGGGCTTAAACGACATCCAAATACGAGGCGCGTAAAGAAATGTTGTTCCAATTGACGCCGTAATAAGGCCACAAAGCGGGATCAATTGGTATCAGCTTGAAGGCATCTGTGATATCTGTCTTCAATAGCCATGCAATAAGGCCACAGCGCGTAATAAGATGTATAGCATCATCTACCATAACATACTTCAACGAGCAATTGCGATTGTTGGTGTCCTGACGTGGAGCAGATAAATCAACAATTAAATGCTTTTTCTTTGAGTACTTATGTTCAGCTAAGCCTAAAGGGTTAATGCGGTAACTGGAATTGGGAATATTGTCAAAAGGACCTATTAAGTATCCTATTTAACTCTTCTCCAACAACTCTAAACACTTCCCGAGTCACTGATAGCTCCTCAAGTTTTTACAAACTATGGAGTTAGCAGGAAGGTATTGTAGACCAGGGTCAAAACCGTAAGTTAAACCATGAATTAGCTTATTAACAAACTGCTGATCGGGGTGTCCTTGAAGTTTGGAATGTAATGTCTCAACACATATAGGAGTAGAAGCCGTCATAGGGTCATGGTGATGGAGGGCTAAGTTGTCTTCTTTAGAGACTGACTGCTCTCTAAAGGGCAGGCCACTTTCGAGTGACTTCCCTTACAAGTAAGACAGATAGGAAGGAAATTGCAAAGATTGGAAGAACAACCAAATCGACCATTGAAATTATTAAAAATCTCGCGCCCTTTAAAAACAACTCTGGGTCTGCCTTTTGAGTCAGAAGCCATATACATTTGCCCTTTATTTTGATGAGACTGGCCAGGGTTGGGGCAAAATTTGGTAGTGTGTGCAGTGCTACCACACATTGAACAAAGTATTGTCCCGCATGGACCAATCTATTTTTCGGTTATTAAACCGCAAATGGGCTACTGCCTTCAACGAAAACTTGTGAAGATATTCATAGCACCTGGAGCTGTATCAGGTTCCCATGTCAGCGATATCTCGCTCGTACAGGTCTAGTTTGACTCGACGGTGTGGATGGGCGTAACGCATAGCTTGTTTATAAACGCCAAACTCTAGTATGTAAGATCTGTCGAGTCTAATGTCCTGTTTCTCATTGGTACCTAGACAACTCGAGTCACTTTGACCACTGGAATACAATAAGGAATAAGGATGGCAGCTAAATTCACATCTTTTCCTGTTATAATTTGTTGGCGCAACGAGGGAGAAATTGTCTCCACTTACGGCAAGGATTCAGAGGTGTACCCATATTGAGTACGCTTAAAAGAGAAAACACCTGATGATTCGACAGTGGGACTACTTTCCTCTTGGAGCTTCTGATAAACACTGACCAGGGTAAATTCCTCTGTGACCGCCACCGATGTCGAACCGAGTTGCATCAACGATGAAACGTCTACACGGGTAGTAGGAGCTCGGATAACACCAGTCGCCGTTTGATGCGGCGGCAGTAGCAGCTGTAGGCTATACGGATCTGGACTGCGCAAGTGTGAGTACACTATTCTCTAATCTGGAGTAACAGATCTGGAGAGTGTTATGCTGTCAGCTAGACTCGAGATCATGTTGAGCACGCTGGTCGAATCTGCTGGTTCCTGACTTCCGGGCTGGCGGCCATTTTGGCCCAGGCCATCATGGGTCGCACTCGCTTCGCTCGAGGCATGCTGGGATACCACACCTCTCAGGGCCACTTATGCCTGCTTCAATTTTTTCTTTACAAGTTTGATACGCTTTGAACCACTCCGGTAAGGCACATTCAATAAATGCAGTTCTTGTTGCAATCTAGCGATTGTCCAATTTCCTAATAATTCAGGGTCGTAAGGAACTGTCCTGTTAGATTTACACCCATGTTTCGTAGCCATTATGGAAACAAATGAAAATGACTCTCACCTCTGACACGGAAGTTTATCAGCACTAAGAGTTGTGTGGTGGTTGTTTTCGATGCTCCTGTATATCGCAGACGAAAGGTAAATACAACAAATCGGAAATTTCAGCACAAAACACAGCTCACGACAGTATAAACACTCGTAGTATTGTCACTGGAATCGCCGAAGGAAAAATCAAAAGGGCGAATGATCGAAGTATCCGACTGAGAAATATGGAATCCAAAATAGGGAGAACAGTATTAAGTTTGGCGCTCTTGAATTCACAAAACGTAAAACTCACGACTACAGAAATTACAGATGGTATGCACAAACTTGGCCACTAAGAGTTAAGTAATAGAGTTTCAATAGATAATAATAAGGCATAAAAAAACACTCCTCTCGCTCATCAAACACTGAAACTTAATGGATGCCAATACTGATACCCCTCTAAGGAGTAACTGCTGATTGGTTAAAGATAAAGAAAAACACTCATTAGCATACTAATTAGCATAAAGATACTGCACATAAATGAACAAACAGAAATAAGATAAAATTAAAAATCACAAACGAAAAAGGAAGCTACAGAAGTTGTATAAACTCAAATTTAATAAAAAAATAAATAAATTTTACATTTAGAGTAAAAGAAAATTTTATATTTCACATTTCAATAACAACACTTTATTGCTTTCAAATCAATGAGTTCCCTGCATGCCAGGCATGTGCTCACCATACAGTAAATAACTGACTGATCAAAGGTCCAAATGACAACAAATTATCTATAAGCACAGAGATATAGATAGATAAAGATGGAGAGGAACTGCCCTGAAACTTCACATGTGTATTATACAACTTTTGTGTTTGCACATTGAAGCATGGTGTTGCACTGCCTACAGTCGAGCTCCAATTTACTTGCATACCATTTGTACATCAGTTTACAGTGAAGGATCACTTTATGTACATTAATGACAGGTTCAATCAATTAGTTATCATCACCACCAGGAGATAAATAAGGTGAAATATACCCAGAGAGATGCCCAAGATATACTCAAGGCCTACATTGTGAAGCCAATGAATGTTCATGACCGATGGAAGTTTAAAAAACAATCTTGAAGGAGGCATTAGGAGCTGCTGAGGGGAAGTGAGAGATAAAAGCGATCAACCACCTACCATAGTTGTCCATGTAAAAATTCAACTCTTCACCAATAAGAAATATAACAGTACCAGTCAGAATCGCTTTAGTTGTGTGATCTGAATATTTTACAATGACTTCAAATCAATCATGCATTATTTATTGACAATCATTCCAATAGGTGGTCTGAGGACTGGTCAGGGCTGGACTACTAGACTGACATGTGTACACAGTCTATACTCACAATCTAGGTATATCAACACACTGGTGGTCTGAGGACTGGTCAGGGCTGGACTACTAAACTGACATGTGTACACACTCTATACTCACAATCTAGGTATATCAACACACTGGTGGTCTGAGGACTGGTCAGGGCTGGACTACTAAACTGACATGTGGACACACTCTATACTCACAATCTAGGTATATCAACACACTGGTTGTCTGAGGACTGGTCAGGGCTGGACTACTAGACTGACATATGTAGACATTTCTGTCATCAGCTCGAGTGAAGACCTTTCTGTACTCTACTGCATTGACTGCTGTCACTAAGACAATGCCATCTTTAATCCACGACACATTAGACGCTGGAGTACCGCCAAATGCATTACATGTCAAGTTCATACTTCCATCCTCCGTTCCTATAGTTCTGTTCTGACCTTCAACACTGACTGTGTTTTCTATCTTAGGGAATCCTGGAGGAACTGCACAAAGTGAAAATATAAACCAAGACAATAAGTAAAACATATACATGGTCAACTATGCAAATTGGTGACTCAGCAAAAAGAACTTGAGAGTACATTAATGGGATTTATGTTAAATGATGAAGATTCATTTAGTCAGAGGGTAAATATCTACAATGATCAGAAAATTCTAATGAGGACAATTTGAAATACCACTAAAACTTAACGATAAATTATAACATCAATCAATCATGTTGTCATGATTTTTGTTTGTTTTTTGAAAACTTCAACTACTGTACAGTAGAAGATAATACAATGAGTCTGTATTACCAATCTGACATAACTTACTGTTAGTAGATGATATAATGTGTCTGTATTACCAATCTGATATAACTTACTGTTAGTACATAGTAGAATGTGTCTGTATTACCAATCTGACACAACTCACTATACAGTAGTAGATGATAGAATGTGTCTGTATTACCAATCTGATATAACTTACTGTTAGTACATAGTAGAATGTGTCTGTATTACCAATCTGATATAACTTACTGTTAGTACATAGTAGAATGTGTCTGTATTACCAATCTGACACAACTCACTATACAGTAGTAGATGATAGAATGTGTCTGTATTACCAATCTGATATAACTTACTGTTAGTACATAGTAGAATGTGTCTGTATTACCAATCTGATATAACTTACTGTTAGTACATAGTAGAATGTGTCTGTATTACCAATCTGACACAACTCACTATACAGTAGTAGATGATAGAATGTGTCTGTATTACCAATCTGATATAACTTACTGTTAGTACATAGTAGAATGTGTCTGTATTACCAATCTGATATAACTTACTGTTAGTACATAGTAGAATGTGTCTGTATTACCAATCTGACACAACTCACTATACAGTAGTAGATGATAGAATGTGTCTGTATTACCAATCTGATATAACTTACTGTTAGTACATAGTAGAATACGTCTGTATTACCAATCTGATATAACTTACTGTTAGTACATAGTAGAATGTGTCTGTATTACCAATCTGATATAACTTACTGTACAGTAGTAGATGATAGAATGTGTATGTATTACCAATCTGATATAACTTACTGTTAGTACATAGTAGAATGTGTCTGTATTACCAATCTGACACAACTCACTATACAGTAGTAGATGATAGAATGTGTCTGTATTACCAATCTGATATAACTTACTGTTAGTACATAGTAGAATGTGTCTGTATTACCAATCTGACATAACTTACTGTACATCAGTAGATGATAGAATGTGTATGTATTACCAATCTGACACAACTCACTATACAGTAGTAGATGATAGAATGTGTCTGTATTACCAATCTGACACAACTCACTATACAGTAGTAGATGATAGAATGTGTCTGTATTACCAATCTGATATAACTTACTGTTAGTACATAGTAGAATGTGTCTGTATTACCAATCTGACACAACTCACTATACAGTAGTAGATGATAGAATGTGTATGTATTACCAATCTGATATAACTTACTGTACAGTAGTAGATGATAGAATGTGTATGTATTACCAATCTGATATAACTTACTGTTAGTAGATAGTATAATGTGTCTGTATTACCAATCTGATATAACTTACTGTACAGTAGTAGATGATAGAATGTGTCTGTATTACCAATCTGACATAACTTACTGTACAGTAGTAGATGATAGAATGTGTCTGTATTACCAATCTGACATAACTTACTGTACAGTAGTAGATGATAGAATGTGTCTGTATTACCAATCTGATATAACTTACTGTACAGTAGTAGATGATAGAATGTGTCTGTATTACCAATCTGACATAACTTACTGTACAGTAGTAGATGATAGAATGTGTCTGTATTACCAATCTGACATAACTTACTGTACAGTAGTAGATGATAGAATGTGTCTGTATTACCAATCTGACATAACTTACTGTACAGTAGTAGATGATAGAATGTGTCTGATACTCCAATGTTACATTTGTATTCCCTGACATCTGACATTTGTACATTACTGATCTGTAGGCTGTAGATTCCACTCTGGCTGGTAACAGCAAGTCTCGTTCTTATTGAGTCTGCTAGGTTCGGATTGAATTGTGTTCCGCTGGTGTAAATAAATCCAGTAGAAGTGACAGACCACGATGTACTACCACCAGTATCAGGACATTGTAATGTTACTGTTCCTCCCTGTCTGGTGTATACTGGACTGGCTGATGTCACACCTTTAGATATAATGAACAGATTTTATATACTTCATGCCAATTATTTTCTTCTGCAAAAAATAACGGGGCATAAACTTTGTTCACTTGGTATTCAATATTCTTTGCAAATCTGAAATAACTGAGACTAAGACGTCAACATGACAAGTATCTATTTAATCAATCGAATAATCCACTGCTTTATAACAATGTATATGGATATCAACACAAACATGGTGATAAGTCAACTGTCAATTGATACTTTGGTGAGACAAGTGTTATTACCTTCAATAACATCTGTTTACATTGACAAACACAAGGACTTCCAATATTTTATTTTTCTGAAATGAAACATCTGTAGGTGACAAAAATGTCAATTTGAATTCATGACATGTAACCTAAATGATTATCAGACCTACTGATGTATAAATGATACAATGGTAGTGGTATACGGAACAGTTATCAAATAATTACATGATGACCATTGGGTCCAAATCGCTCAACTGCATGATTTGTTTTGGCTGAAATAGTATCAGTGTCTCAAGGAGACCACAGAATCTGGTAATTCTGATCTTGTAACGAAGTGTTACGCACACATTCGGAGTAAAATATAATCTTTGATAATGTTCTGTGATTTTTTTCTTTGTATTTTTCAACAAAACATATCCTTGACCCAAAAATAAATAGTTGCACGTTTTTGGTGTCAATGTTACATGTGACTACTTAAACGATAATATATTTGAAATATGTGGGAGTATAATTGTAATTTACATATAGATAGTATATTAGGGGCTTTTTATATGTTTTAATAGCATTTCTGGCATGCTTTATGATTCATATTTATTGTGTCCATGTTACATGCAACATATGTGTAACTACTTTATTACTGAAATGAGAAGGTTGCAAAAATATTGATAGAATTTTCTTTATACAACAGTAACACAATGAAAAAATGACTTTTCTTGTTTACCAAGAACATAATTCTGATTATATTTATCTCTTAATAATTGCATGTAACATTGACAGAACAATAAGAAGAAACATGTTTTCATAGAATTTCTGAAATACATGATAAATTTGAAAAAATGCAATTTTTTAAGTTGAGATGATGGACAATGTTTTGAGATAAACAAACCTAATACTAAACTTTAAACAGGTCAAAGAACCATCAATCTCAGTTTGGGTATAGTGTCAATGTTACATGCTCTAAATTCATTAATTATCTTTGTTCTTAACTGAAGTAAGTTTCAAAATGATTTTTGTTACACATAGAAAGACACCATTTACAGTTATACTTCAAGCAAAATTTGTAGGCTTATGAATATTTTTATTTTTTTTGTTGCAATGTCACACTTAGCTAATTCTTGCCCATATATTAAGAGACAAAACTCTATATAAACGGTCATATGCTAAAATTGGCAATCCTAAAGCATCCTTATAAATACCTTGTACAACGACCATCTGCATTTCCACTGTCCCATCAACCGTACATCTATATATCCCGATGTCACTCGACTGGAACTCTGTAAATGTTAGTGTATAACTCCCTCCTGTGTGACTCGCAGATATCCGTGGTTTAACAATGGTAGAAAGGTTAGCTTCAGTCGTAGTTCCTGTGACATACAGGGTACCTCCAGGTCCAGTCCAGCTGTGAATCGTAGCCTGGTCATCAGCCGGACAGGTCAATGTGACGGGGGTGTTAATCTGGATATATACTGGCGTGATGGTCTGACCTGCAAAATAATGATGTTTATTTTTTGCTATTTTATACACAAGGCAAGAACCTTTCACCATTTTTGCTAGTACACTTCATGTGGAATATTCATTAGTTTGTATGTTGTTGTACTGTGTAGTAAATTTACTTTTCATTACAATCAATTAGACATAACAAGCTTTAACCTCTCATGCAAAAATTAATGGGCTGAATGTCTAAGTGTACATTAATAAACCTAAATCTAACAACTATTGATACCAATATATATCTTGCAAAGATCTAGAGAGTGACATGGAACAGCATGGGAGGAAAAATTCAATACGCATTGTGGGGCTGGAGGATTCTAATAGGAACGAAACTGTTGAAGAGTGCGTTGATAAAATTGTGAGCTTTATCCAAGACAAACTAAAGGTTGGCATATCTAAGGATGATATCGATATAGCTCACAGGCTTGGAATTTACCAGAATGGAAAATCACGTAATGTGATCTGTAAATTTACCCACCGACGAAAGAAATTTGAGGTCATTAAACAGAGGAAAACGCTTAAGCAATCAGGATTCTATATCACGGAGGACCTAACCAGGAAAAATCAACAGATACTGAAGATGGCCTACGATCTCAGCTGTGTTGACCGTACATGGAGTTTAGACTGAAAGCTGTTTGCGTCGCTGAAAGATGGAAGAAAACGGAGACTGTCTCTAAATACTGTTCTGTCGGATGCCTACCTGATGAACGATGCCAATTTCTTGCGAAGATTTTAAGTACCAGTGGTAGTATCCGTGAAATCAGTGACAATTTATTGTGCAAACAAATTCGTTGGATTATATATATAAAGACTGGTAAGTGAATATTTCGCACATTTTGATTGATCAGATATTATCTGGACAGACCTGCATTTAATGAAAATATTTTCCGTCATTTAATTACGAAAGTCATTTCTTCTTTAATTGGAATAACCTAACAGTACAGTTTGTTTTCAATATGTTCGCTTTCTATTTTATAACTAAGCGTGAAGAACGTTCAAAATCTGTAAAAGTGGTATGAAAGGAATGTGATTACAATTTTATCTACCTGTAAAAGGAAAAAGAAAAAAAAAAAGATGACGATGCCATTCTGATTTTGAAAACATGACAAACAAATACTTATAAATATAAAGCAAACTATTGCAGTTTAACAATATCTATTTTGTCACCAAGGAAATAAATCTGAAAATAATAATAATAATAATAACACTCAATAGTTCGGTGTAATGATAAAGCTTCTTTTAATCGTCCGGAATTGGTTTCGTCACCTTTATTATATGCGTATATCCGGTTTTGGTGTTTACTTCCGGTAAAGATGGTTGATGCGGAGTATGGCATGCACTTGCTCCTGGTTTGAGGGATATCATGTGGGTAATATATGATTAGATGGTCTATCAGCTCCTATTTGATGATTAGTTGGTATATCGGATATCTACGATACCATTTGTAAACAAACAAGGGGTCTCCCTCAGACCGGGAGCAATTGCCTGCTTGTTTTTTTAAGTGTGTGTGGTTGGTGGTGCGTCAGTATGTTCTTTTTGTCATTATTTTTTACTCATGAATGCTCTTACTTTCTACAACTTTCTTTTTTGATGTTTTCCTCAACTCTATATCTTATCTTGTATCTCTGCTTTCTCTTTCCTCTGCCTGGGATGTTAACTAACTATAGAAAAAAGGTAAAGTCTAAGTGCATACCAGGTATAAATGGCCGTCATAGTTGCAATAATAGTATATCTTATACTCAATACTTACCTTTGACTCGGGTTATTTTATGTATGAAACTAGATAACATTGGTAGGCTATATTATGATCAATTTTACCCAGGCCCAAGTTATATTTGCTTATTATTGGCTCAGAATTATGGATGTTTTTATAGTACACACAGTTGTTAAGTCTAATGCATTAGACCAATACAGATAATATGGAATCTATTGGTATATTAGCAGCTAACTGTCAAGGCTTGGGTGATCATAACAAAAGAAAAGATGTTTTCTCATTTTTACGAAATAAAAAATTTAATATTTATTGCATTCAAGAAACACACTTTACTACTGAAATGGAAAATTCTGTAAGGTCTGAATGGGGTTATGAATGTTTTTTTAGCTGTTACAGATCAAACTCAAGAGGGGTGGCAGTATTAATTAATAATAATTTTGAGATGAAGGTAATTAAAGAGAAGAAGGATAATAGTAGAAATTTTTTAGCATTAGATATGTTAATAGAGGGTAAAAATGTGACTTTGATAAATTTATATGGTCCAAATACAGATAGTCCACATTTTTATGAACAGGTAGTTGATGTTGTGAATGAGTTTAATAATGAATTCCTTATTATATGTGGGGACTTCAATCTCGTACTTAATCCTGACATAGACTATGATAATTCTTATAGACAAGTAAATAATCCAAAAGCTAGGGACAAAGTAATAGAGATGATGAACGAAATAGGGTTAATAGATATATACAGAGATCAACACGAAGACTCTAGAAGATATACTTGGAGAAGAAGTAATCCAAGGAAACAAGCTCGACTAGATTTTTTCCTTATTTCCGAAAACATGCTGCCCAGTATTCAGAAATCAAGCATAGACCCTGGTTATAGATCTGACCATTCAATACCTACAATATCTTTTAAGTTTAATGATTTCAAAAAAGGAAAAGGACTATGGAAGTTTAATAATTCTTTACTTCATGATATAGACTTTCTGCAAATAATCAACAAACACATTACTGATATCAAGAAGCAGTATGCACTACCTATATACAACCTAGATGCTATTCAGACAATACCAAACAGTGACATTCAATTTACCATCAATGATCAACTTTTCTTAGAGACACTGCTGCTTGAAATTCGAGGAAAAACCATATCATTCTCTGCATATAAGAAAAAACTTCAAAACCAGACAGAAAACAAACTAATAAAAACAATAGAAACCCTAGAATCTAGTGATAACATAGATTATACATTATTAGATTCTAAAAAAGAAGAATTAAGAAAAATTAGACAGCATAAACTAAAAGGAAGTATTATTAGATCTAAGGCAAAATGGACAGAGGAAGGAGAAAAACCATCAAAGTATTTTTTGAACCTTGAGAATAGAAATTTTACTTCAAAGATAATTCCTCTAGATAGAAAAAGAGAATGGAGAAATTGTAAGGAAACAAGAAGATATTTTAAATGAAACAGCTTTTTTATGAAAAACTTTATGCAGGTGATAGTTGTAATGTTCATGATATGAATTTACAAGACTTAAGTGAAATGAATATTCCAAAACTTAATCAATTTGAATCACAAAGTCTAGAAGGTTTACTAACTACTAGTGAGGCTTCTCAAACATTGAAGAAAATGAAAAATAATAAGAGTCCAGGCTCTGATGGTTTCTCTGTAGAATTTTTTTAATGTTTTTGGAAAGAACTGGGTGATTTTGCTGTTCGATCAATTAATTATGGTTTCTTCAATAAAAAACTTTCTGTAACTCAACGCCAAGGAATTATCACTTGTTTACCAAAAGGAAATAAACCTAGACATGTTATAAAAAATTGGAGACCAATTTCACTGCTAAATGTAACATATAAGATAGCATCAGGCTCAATCGCAAATAGAATTAAAACAGTCCTAAATAAATTGATAGATTTAGATCAGTCTGGTTTCATTGAAGGTCGATATATAGGAGAAAACATCAGGCTCATTTATGATACAATGCAATTTGCAGAAGAAAATGATATACCGGGTCTTCTATTAGTTGTTGATTTCGAAAAAGCATTTGATTCGGTTGATTGGAAATTTATTGACAAAGTACTTGACTTTTTTGAGTTTGGTGAAGATATTAGAAATTGGATAAAACTTTTTCTTACTCAACCATGTTCTTCTATTAATCAAGGGGGGAATTTGTCAACATTTTTTGAGATTAAAAGAGGGTGTAGACAAGGGGATCCAGTTTCCCCTTACCTATTCATTTTATGTGCAGAAATCTTAGCGATAAGATTGAGAAATAATGAGAATATAAAAGGTATTCAAATAGAGAATACACCTATTCTTTTATCACAGTATGCAGATGACACCACTATCATTTTAGACGGTTCCAAGAAGTCGCTAAAAGAAACCTTACGTGAATTAAATGATTTTGCTAAAATATCCGGTTTGAAAATAAATGCCAGTAAAACCCAAGTTATCTGGATTGGAAGTAAAAAATATAGTCAGGAAGTCTTTTACCCTGAACTCAATCTACAATGGGGAGACCATAAGTTTACACTATTAGGTATTGATTTCCATGTTGATCTACACAGAATACCAAAACTGAATTTTGATAAAAAAACTTGTGAAACTTAAGGCAATTATTAAAAGCTGGAGTAGGAGAGCCTTGACTCCATTTGGGAAAATACATGTTATGAAATCACTTTTAATTTCACAATGCAATAATCTTTTTATATCAATACCAAATCCAAATGAAAGCTTCCTAAAATGCATTACCACTGAAATATACCATTTTTTGTGGAACAGCAGAAGGGATAAAGTGAAAAGGGTGGTAATTACAAAACAATATGAAGAAGGAGGACTTAAGATGTTAAATCTGGAAAGTTTTGTCAGATCTCTGAAGCTAACATGGGTAAGAAGACTATTAACACAAAGTGGAAAATGGCAGATTTTGTTAAATACAAACATTGATATAACTATGTTAATGAGTTGTGGACCACAATTTATAAATGAATACTTCAAAATATGTAAAAATCAGTTTTGGAAAGATGTCTTTAAAGCTCACATAGAACTTAGCTGGACAGAGGAACTTTTCTCAAATAAGACAACATCAATATTAAAAACACCACTTTGGCATAACAATAAGATAAGAGTGGGGGACAAGACACTTTTTTATAAGAAATGGTACTCCAAAGGGGTTATGATAATTAATGATTTGATAAAGGATATTAATTCAGGAGTCTTCTATAGTTTTCAGGAATTTGTAACCAGATATGGCGTGCCAACTAATTTTTTAGAATATCAGGGGGTAATTCATATTGTTAAAAAGCTTATTTCTGACACAGATATTACCAATCATCCAGTTGTATACC